TATAACAATTCACTTAAAAGACCTTGTTCTCACTATAGCCAGTTTAGATACTAAAGAAATTTATGTCTAACTAGAAATATAAATAATAGTATTGGTAATATAAGAAAAAATACAAACTCACCCACTGATTATAATACTACTGGATAACATGTTACATTATCTCAAATTACACTTATGTATAATTCAGAATACAATTCCTTTCATCAAATATCTATGACTTTTTCAGTTTTAAATCTGTTACCAATAAATGCCAATAGTACTTAAACTATTAACAGTACCTTTAAAGAGTGAATGTATCACTAAAAATATAAATTTCTCAGAATTACCTAAGGTTATAAAAGTAGTTTACTGTAATGCTGCTGTCGATAATAATCTGATATATTTAATTTTAGATTTAGGATCAGCTAAAAGTGTGATGTCTAAATTATTTTTACAACAACTGGAACAAAAAATTGAATCAGCTTCTATTATAATCATGATAAATATATAAGAAGGATGATCATGACCTTTAAGACGAATTATAAATATTCTATTACAAATAAATAGTATAAAAATCCCTATTAATGTCGATATCACAGAGTCAAATAATTATTATATAATAGTAGAAAATAATTAACTTACTAAATGTTGAGAATGACTTTATTAGAATTGTCAAAAATTTACATTTCTCTAAAACAATCAAGAATATCAAATACCTATGACTTATTGGAAAAAATCACAGTTTAATCACTTCTAATAACTAATAAATATTGTTAATAGTTTATTAGATGAAGAATATGAAAGTAAAGAATTGACAGCTCAATGACATTATGTAGTATTAAAAAATTATGATAACTCAATCCTTTTAGCTAAAAGAAATATAAAATAAATTTCAGTAGATAGACAAAAGTATTTTTCACAATACTTTGAGAGTTTAAATCAGAAATTTAATGTCTAACCATCTAAAGATGTCAAATAGAAATATCATTGGTAAAAATTAGAAAATCGATGCTGGTATCATCACTAATTGAATAAAATTAATAATTGTTGCCAACTCTATAAGAAAGAATAGGATTACTGATAATTATTACAAAATATTTTAGATGAACTACCTTCCTATGAACAGACCTATAACCATTTTAGCAAATCTCAACAGCAATAAATCCTTCAGTTCTTTCATAAATATAATGATGCATTTGCTGAAAACTTGTCTCAATTAGGGCATATGATAATCAAAAAGCATCATATTCTAGTAGAAAATCCTATGCTCATATGATAATGTGCTTACTGAGTAACTTCTTTAGAATAAGAATTTATTAAAGATGAAGTTGATAAAATGCTGAAACACAACTTAATACAATATCTAAAAACCCTTAAACCTCACCTGTTATTCTTATTCAAAAGAAGAATAGAAAATTACAATTTTGTATTGACTATAGGAAGCTTAATAGTGTTATCCAACGAAATAAACATCTCCTACCATATATTGATAAATTGCTTGACATGTTTGGAAAAGTCAAATATTTCTCGATGCTAGACTTAGCTAGTGAATACTGACAGATCATCATAGATCTCAATGATCAAGCTAAAATGGCTTTCATAATTAGTCAAGAACTTTATAAATTTAAAGTTATGCCGTTCTGACTAATAAATACTCCTGCAACCTTTCAACGTCTTATAAATAAAATTTTTAGGAGAAAATAAAACAATTTATAGCTGTATATCTTGATGACATAATTATCTTTTTGACAAGCATATAAAACATTTACAATTAATTTTTAAATAGTTAAAGGATGCTAGACTCAAATCTGAAAAGAATAAGTATAAATTTGCTAAAGTTATTTTTTATGATAATTTTATAATATTCTATTATGATTAATATTGCTAAAAGTAAATGTTAATAAGATGGTTAAAGATCAATGATAAAACTTTTTAATTTATAATTTTTTTAAAAATCACAAATTTTTGGTTTACAAGTAACCTTAAATTATTTATTATATAATTAAAAATAAATTTACTATAATATTATATATATTTATAAAATTAATTTAAAAAAAATTTTTTTAAATTTTAATTTTTTATAAAAATAAATCAGAGGAAATTTATAATAAATAAGTAAACAAATTTGCTTGTATACCTCTACAGTTTAAGGGATAATAATATTTATATTTATTTTTATTTTTAAATGGTCTAATTAAAATAACAAAAACTATATATTAAAAGAAAATAAATAATAATAAATAACAAAAATCAAAAAAAAAAAAAAAATAATTTAATTAAATAACAATATATAATTAAATAAATCAAAAATAAGATAAAACAAAACAAAAAAAAAACTTTGTTTATTTTAATTTTTTTTAAAAAAAAAACTTAATTATTAATTAAATTAAAACTTATAAAATAATTTTACCTTTTTCTTTACAAATAAGATTTCATTAAAAAAAAATCTAAATAAAAAAAGATTTAATTATTATAAAAGAATCTGAAATTATAAAACTTTCTTATTAATGTTTATAAATAAAAAAATATAAATGAAGAGAATTCTAAATAAAAAAAAAAATAAAAGTAAAAATAATACAAATAAAAAAAAAAACTTATATAAGCAACTTGAAGTGACCATAACCTGAAAAATTCAAGTAAACTAATTTTTTAAAAGAAAAAATGAAAAGTGAATTATAAAATAAAATTCACAAAATAATAATAATAATAATAAAATATACATATTAAAAAATAGAAGCCTTATTATAACAAATAAAAAATATACATATATCGATTTTACATGCATAATTGAGTTTACTTTTGCATTATATTACATTAGTTTACTAAGTTATTTTTTTATTATTCATGATATAAGATTAATGTATGTGAAATATTATCATTACACTCTTTGATTTTCCATAACTTCTTGCTGAATTTCGTACAAGTCAATTATGAAATTGGGAACTGTGATTGGACCAGGGACTTTTATGGTGTAATTAGTTTCATTCGGGACGTTGATGTTCGTAGTGGAATCCATAACTATTGGGGGGTTCCAGAAAACATCTTCAATTGGTATTGTCACTTGATAAGCAGGGAGTCCCGGAGCAATGCAAGCAGTAGCGTTAGTAGTACCATATAACAACGTGCCAAAATCCCACTATAAATATTTGCCAACGTTATACTTTAATAGTTGAATATAAATTAACATTAGATAAATCTTACTTACAACTCTAAAAGACACTCGTGGTAGATTTGGATTTGTTGACACTATAAATCCCGCTGGTGCTGTATATCCTGCTGGTGCTGTTGGTGATACATTTTGGCGCGTCCATAACATAGCCTAATAATATTAAAAAAAAAAAAAATCTTAAGAGATGAAACTATAAAAAAATTAACAAGCTAGACATACCAACATCGACCGATGAACATTTCCTTGATGGCTCCTAATAACATCAAGTTTGATGCCAAGTACATCTCGAACAAATTGTTGACGTAGCCACGTCTCACATCTTGTAATTAAGTTATCACGGCTCTGAACGTTAGCTATTTCAACAATTATTCTCGCGTGAGGCAATCCCTACGTAAAGGTATTGTTAATATTAGGAAAAGTGACCAAACAAAAATAACGTGAACAAACTCAAAGTACACATTTGTCGCTTGGTGGAGGTCCGGGATGCGGAATATTAGGTCGTGGAACATGAGCAGTAGATGGATATACCGCGACGTCTGGTGCCATTTTTTCCCCATGGCCGATTGGATTATAATGGACTATAGAAGAAAAGTGAATTGTTATTACAAGCCAAAACCAAACAGACTAAAGGAAACCTCTTTACATGGTTGACCACACATTTTTATCGGACCACGTAATACACCATTATTTGGTCTATCGAATATTTTTATCAAAAGAGCAGCAGACATTTCATGTTCTGAATTAGCCATTTCAATAACATAAACGTTTTTGTTTTCCCAGTAGAATTTGTACCCAGTCGATTGGTTGTGGTCAAGAAAGGTGTTATACTCATTCACTGAAACGTTTTTTCCAATCTGAAAAGGCAAACTGAAAATCATACACGTCAAAAGTAAGCAGACCTTAAAGAGCATGCGCGAGTCACATACTTACTTTTCTTCTGATAAGGGAAAGTCTGGCAGTTTGGGATAATTATGAAATATGTTATTAAATGTGTTTCGAATGTTCTTTACTATCCTTACTGCTGGTCTCCGACGAGAGCTTGAGATTGAGGAGGACATGCTGAAGAGGTGGGTTTGTGTGAAATTAGAAATTTTTTTTATTTTTTGATTTCTTTGATTAATTTAATGAATAATAACGGTGATTAATTTGATCAATGTAATGATTAATCAAATAAGTAAGTCCTGTTCAATTCTAGATCGGAACATTGCCCTTAGATGATTGGTTGTTGATTAGGGTTACACCAGGACCCGGATAAGCATAATGGGAATTCGGAAAAATGATTACGAATAAAAAAAATATTATTCTTTCTGATGGTAGAGTCTGTCCGAGCTCGTCAAAATTGAGCAGAAGCTGGATCAGCATCCGGTTAAATTTATCTCCCGAAACTTATGCGAAGCGCCTACGGCTATTTTTTCTGATGGACACGCATATAAGCAGGATCAACGTCAGGTCGTCAGGTTAAATTTATCTCCCGAAGGCGTATGACTAGCTTATTTTCCTGATGGTAGAGTCTGGACTAGCTTGTCCGGGCTCGTCAAAATTGCACAACCGTTTTGGCGAATTATTTTCGTGATGTTTGGCAACAAGTACTTTATAAAAATAAAACCCGATATGGGAAATGCTTTATTAATATATGTTTGAATCCGTTATGCGCATTTATCAAGATGATTAAAAGCAATATTTATTATTATTATATTGTACTATTTTGAATGTGAAACAATAATGGCATACCAAAGAATGCAAAGAATAAGAAATAATAATTTCTGCAAATTATATAGAAATTTTTTTTGGAGAAAAAAAAGTGCCATTTGTTATGCGTTTATGACCTTCATTCAAAGCTTTATAGAACGCATCAGTATTTTTTCTGGTCCCGGCTTTCCAGGATAAGACGATTTTCACAGCCTTTATTACTTTTTGAGAACCCTTCTACGGTTGGGATCTCAATATCTTGTAGATCCATCGTTATTATAGTGTTATCGAAAAGATACTTTGACACAGATATGGTAAGGCAGAACCCATTCGATTGAAGGCTGTAAACTTCGATATTTTTAATATCGTCTTTTGAGGCAGAAGGAAGTGCAAAAATTAGAACTGTTAGAATAACCTTTGTACAATATTCTAACTTTCGAAGGTCACCATTCTTCTTTCCGTGAGTATTCAAGACACCATCTTCTTGAGCTAATAGTTCGGTACCTAAAGATTTCAAGAAGCCTTTACCATCGAGCTTCGGGGCACTGCGTCCAGCAATATTTAAGATCTCTTTAAGTTTATCATAAGATTTTGACGCTAATTCACCATAGCTTAATTTGAGATCTGTTTTCTCCAGAAACGCGTTTCTAAGCAATGGTGTCCACATATGTGCATTAAATTCACGTTCGGACATAGGCTGGAGGAAGACATCGTTTTTATACAAGGAGAAGAAATGAATAAAAAGGCTTTGTGCATAAATAAGGTCATCCGATGCTGTAGAATAATTTATTAAATTCTCATCTAGGCATCTGCTTAAAGACTCTAGATCAGATACATGGTTGAATTTATCCAAGAATAGTAAAACATCCTCATTACAATCAACTATAAATTTATCAATGCTTCGTCCTTTAGTAAAATTGATAACCTTGGCATTGGGATCTTGAAGTTGATTAACAACAAATTGTTTAAAGTCATGAGATATAAATTTAGTACATTCGACATTGTAAAAGTTGATAACGCCAATAGAGAGAGGGCCTTTTTCAATCTCTTTCGAATGAATAAAGTCCAACACGTCTACATCATTGTATATTAACTTGTCGTCCGCTAAGACGCGCGTTTGATATGTTTTGAGGGCTTCTTCCGCTATATCACGAGCAATGTATTTAATATTCTTTGTCTTTTTATTCATCCCTGCTAAAGATGTATTCGATTCGGCTTTCTTGTCGAGCTTGATGGAAGTTGCAAGAAATGCATTTATAAGATTAACTGGTACAATCTTGGGTTCAGGTGGTGAAGGCACCTCATTTTCTTCAATCACCGGAATGACGGTTTTTATCTGTAAATGCATTTTGAAATATGAGAAAATTTCGTTATTGTGGACTATGATTTATAACAAAGAAAAAAATATATTTGCTTTATCCCCTCCATTTTCTATAATTTGTGCATTTACCTCATTTATGGTTAGTGGAGAAATCGTTTCTGATTTACGCGAAGAAATTTCAGAGAAGACGTTTGTAAGAGAAATAGATGATGATGATGATGATCCTTCGTCACTGAACGTTGAATCATTATATGTTGACTCCATATCCATACTGATGGCTCTGGTCTATGCACACTTTCAAAAGATTAGATAAATAAATGATCATCTGAACTCGTACACCAAAGAATTTTTAACGTTTTTGTGAAAACCAAATATTGAGTTATATCCTGACCTTACTCGGTATTGTAAAAGATGACTCTTCCTCGTACGATCGCTTTTGTCCTATTATGGCATCCGCTTCTTTCTCTCTTGCCATCTCAGTCTGTTCCAGTATGTGTGAATTAATTTTATTAACATACTCATTAGATTTCCGACTACGAGAAACGCAGAGCACATCCAATGCTTCTATCTGCGATTTCTTATCAAAAACATCCTAGAAAGTTGGCAAATGATCATGCTAAAATCAAAATCGTTGGACATTTTAAGGAGGACTGTTCAAAGTTATACATACCTCTCTTATCATCAACTCTTTATCTAGTCTGACACCGTCCCAAAAGTTCTCTTCTTCAGGTGGGCGCTTCTAATAATTCAGGGATAACAAATATTAATCGAAAAAGTAGTGCGTTTAATTCATTTGGCATGATCTTTCTGGAGGAACGGCACCCCACATCTGTCACACCGAGGAACGGCACCCCATACCTCGAGAAGGACGGCACCCTCTCTAGGCCGTGCAACAGCAGAAGATCGTGAAATACAACGCTGAGGAACGGCACTCCATACCACAAAGAGGACGGCACCCCTCCGAGGTCGCGTAGATTTCACCCATGATGGTTTAGAGATAAAGCGACTAACCTGTCGAATCAGAAAAGCTATACGCTCTTTGATACCATTATCATGCTCATCTTCATTTATAAGACATTTACTTAGGAAGCATAGATACCGCTTCCTCCATATGGAATTTTAGATCGTCCAACGAACGTTCTTCCGAGACGCAATAAGATTTTAAAGTCTTTAAAAAATCCAAATACGACCATGCTAAGACGGGCGTACTCTCAAAGTATGATTTAATTGAAAAATGTAATTCAGTGGACATTGCAGACAATGCAGAAGCAAGTTACCGTGAAAAAGCAGAAGCAGGTTACGCATAAAAAGTAAAAGCAAGTTACGCGTAAAAAGCAAAAGCAAGTTACGCGAAAAAAGCTATAATATATATAAAAACTTTCGTTACACAGAACTATCATCAATGGCGCATGTCACATCACGTGTATGGCTCAGTAAAATTTACTAGCGATCAGACCGGACTATCACGAACTTGAATTTATTGCTTGAAGAATTACAGCTAAGACAATATTCCATTCTATTTCTATGCCATTCGCCATGTAATCCATAATTCCCATGTTTTCCATCGCAAATAGGACATGGTGAGCTCCACAGTTGAGGTGATACAAAATTATAATTATCAATCTCTCTGAAACTATTTCGGAATTTCAGGTATGTGAAATGTTCTAAGACAGACTTGATAATTAATTCTGGATCGGGTTTGGCTTCGAAAGTGATGGGCCCATTTTCTTCACATTGCTTAGGAAAAGATAAATAAAATGCTTTGTTTTCTGGCTTCAAATTTACGAGAAGGCTGGCTTCTGATGCATGTGCTTCTGATAATTGCCATAGCTCATATCCAGTTTCTTTTTTATATTTTTTGTATAAATTGGAACGAATCTTATCTGTCAAAACGCATGGTAAACCAGTTAATTTGGCAAGCCAATCCAGATACTCAGGGGTTAATACTTTATCGGACTTGCTCATATTGCCTTTTTATATGATTACAGATCAATTTAAATTCCTGGATAGAAAGCTGTCTACTATTTCTTATCATATTTCCAAAAAAATAATTAGATCATCTTTCGAAGTATCTATGATATAAGAAAGGGCAATGAGACTATGCAACTATCTCAATTTCATGCTGTTCACATTTAATAAAATAGGATCTGGCTTCATATCTACCTTCTATACTTTCCTCATCATCATGATCTAACTTGCATAATGGACATGAAGTCTCGTCAGTAATTCCATAATAATCAACATTTTCACTACTAAATTCTTTATATAAATTAGGATATTGATCCAATGCTTTGTTGCAAAAATAGATGCGGTTATAGGTTGGCTGAGGTGCAGTATCAGTTTTATTGGTTTTCAAAGTCACGTGTCCGTTCCAATTTGGAACGGAGTCATCATAATCTACATCATCTGTATTGGTAAGAAAATCATTTATAATGTCCTGGATCTGATTATCAGATAAATTCAAGATAGCACTTGCGCTACAGCTAATTATTTGGATTCTATTTATTCCTATCCCATCAAACAATTTATAGATTTTTTTAGCTTTGAAAGTTATTTTACGCAAGTTTACATCAGTAATGTCGGGAAGAAGGGGTTTGATTTTGCTGTACACCAATGTTCTTGCTGATTTGTCATCAATACCATTCTTAGACTTAACATCCCTAACTCGATTTTCATACGCCTTATAGTAACAATACCAGCATAAGATCTCCTTTTGTCTGGCCTTCATTGCTATATTAAATAGATCAACTATGACTTGTGATGTAATTTTATTAGATCCTATCAGAATTGCTTCTAAGGAGAATTCGGGAATCTGTATATCAAATATTTTATTTTCACTCTGTGAAGCGGATCCCTTGCCTTTCATGTAAGCAGATAACTCGTCTCTCAAGTCTTGTTTTACTTTCAGATTATAGGGAATTTTCCCCACCTTCTCATCACATTCGAAGCTAGAAGAAGCATTACATGGTTTAGATGATAGACTGTTATTAGAATTTTCTGA